TTGATACGCCGACGATCTTTGGTGGGCAACTGCATCACATCGCCCTTAAGACGACGCTCCGCCGCATCCCCAGATACAGGCTTACTGCCGACGGGAGCGGTGGGCTTGTCGTTGGCGCTGACCCAAGGGGCAAGCCCCTGGTCGGGCATCTCCCTTGTGACATTGCCGTATATTGCAGCAATTAGCTGATTATGGAGGTGTTCCTTTTCGCCATTGGGAGATGTGAGGATGGGGTCGATCCGTTCTGAGTACTCGGTCTGATTCAATCGACCTAGGAGCAGATGTTAGCTTGCGAGTGATGATTGCGCGGATATCCGGAGTTGCTTACCGATGAGAAACTCTGTGGTTGACTCCTTGTAGATGACCCATGCTTCCGGGCCGATGGCCTGCTTCAGGGCGGTATAAAGCGGCTCTAGGTCAATGCGGGCGGGTATGATCTGACTTGTTTTGGCAGCTTTGAGAGAGCCCGGAGGTTGAACAGTGATGGATTTGGTAGAAAGTGTCGGCGTGGAAAGATTTACTGATGGGCGGCTGCTCAAGGCCGCGGGGTCGATGTCGGGCATTGCGACACGGGATGCCAGACAGGCAGATCACGTCGTCGAGCGTATTAGTGGAGCTGAGCGACAGTCGCGTGCAGCAGCAGCGGCGGCGGGCAGGACTCGGCGCAGGGTGGAAAAGATGTTCATGAGTAGCATAGAACGAAAGAGAACGATAATGCGATCGTGAATTCGGTACTATCTCGATGAACGGGGCATGTTGTGGGCGCAGGCGTGATGACGAAGGTCGGAGGTGATGTCCAGTGGTTGGGTCCGGCTCCGTCTCGTACAGTGGAGGAAGACGGGATGCGATTGAGAGGTGCTGCACTGCTTTGTCGATGGAAATTTTGCCGAACTGTCTGACGACGAAAGCCAGGGGAGGGCCGAGCCTGGGGAAGAAGTAGCGGGGACCACAATCCAGTATGTGAGCTGGCAGGGCACAAGGGTTCAGAATACATCCGCAGGCGCTCTGACCACTTCGTCGAGCCCCTGTAGGCTGCTTGCAATTGGCATCGGCAACACTGCGAGCCTGTGAGGTCGCGTCCGGCGCGTCTCTCTCAGCGGGCTGTAATGCTGCGAGTACAACAACGAAATCAATGCGATATATGACAACGACCGGCGCATGTTCTGCTCTTCACCTCGAGCTTAACCTCTTTTTCTCCACTAAGCGTGGCAGCCCACCCAAGAAGGCTTCACCTTGTTTTGAACCTCGAGGTGGTCAGTGTTCGGCAATGCCATCATGTCCGCCAACCGCGAGCATCGCATTGCCGGTGCCGTCGACAGCCTAATCGCACACTTGGTACCCAACGACCCTCACGAAGACGATGCTGCAGCCCAGGAAAGACACGACAACTGTTTTGAGCTGGTCAAGTCAATTCTGGATGCGTAAGTCCTAAAACCATTTGCAAAGTCGAGCGATGCCCGACCACTTGTATGTCATGTCGCTGACCGGTCAACATCTAGCCCCGCGTCCCCCGCCATTTCCTCCGATGTTAACCACGCCTCCGATCTGATCAAGCGGAAGCTCATACAGAGCAACCCAAGCCAAGCGCTGCGCTTCTCAAACCTCTATACCCGTCTTCTCTCCTTACCAGTCTTGGGCCAGAAATGGGCTATCCTCTACCTCCTCTATCAGCTCGGCGACTCACCCGATCCAAGCGAGCCGCTGCCCCTCGTCCCAACGAAACCTCCACAAACGCAGCGCGACCCGTTCAGGAAACATGAACGAGAGCGATCGTCCAAGAACTCTACACCGATATCGAGGCAAGAAGAAGAGCAGTTCGACGATGCTTTTGCGCCAGAGGGATTGAAGAACTTTCCCCCAAATCACAATAAGAACAGCAAATCTATTGACGAAAGAGAAAAGGACTCAGAAAAGGAAAAGGAGAAGGAGGCAGATGGCGCTGAAACGGACAAGCGACAAGTGAACTTGAAGTCCACCTTGCTGGCCGATAATTACGTCGAGATCGACCCTTCCGAGACGGTGCTCTTACGAGATCTTCCCTTTACTCTCCAAGGATTATCTTCGACTACCTTGCCCTTCTCGCGGCCTGACACCATCACCTTGCCCCCGACGTTACCATCTCCGATCATCTCTCTCCTCCACACAGTAGCCGAGCCGTCTTTGTTATACCGACGTCTCGATGTTTTTGTCAAGTCCCCCGCACAGGGCTTGCTGAGACAAAGTATTCGAGCCGCCATAGGCGGAGAGTTGCGGTCTTATCTTAGCCTCGTCGCCACTTTGGAGGGTCAAATCCGCAAAGCCTTGTCTTCCCTAGATGAATCCGCTCCAAGAGGTGGCATAGGAAAGGCAGGCGTCACATTGAAGAGATGTGTAGTATGGACGCGGGAAGCTACGATGGGTTTGCGGCTTATGAGCCTCATTGCCGAAGAGTCTGAAAGTAAAAGAGGTGGACAACTCATCTCCCTCGTACACGGATTTTCTTCTTCGCATGGTGACCCCATGGTTGCAGCATTTGCCGAACGCCTACTCGTGCATGTCACACGCCCTTTTTACGATATCCTGCGTCGGTGGATATACGATGGCGAGCTACTCGACCCATTCTGCGAGTTCTTTGTCAAAGAACAGAAGCAAACGGACGAGCCAAAGACGGGCGGAAACAGTGTATGGGAAGATAAGTACGAAATCGACAAGGACATGGTCCCAAGTATCATCACTCAAGACTTTGCTCAAAAGGTCTTCCTCATTGGCAAGTCTCTTAACTTTATCAGACACAGTTGCGGCGACTCTCAGTGGGTCGAAGACTACTCCAAGGCGGCCTCGAAGGAATTGCGCTATGGCGACACGGCGACCCTCGAGGCTTGGATTGATGAGGCATATAAGACGACAATGAAGCGTCTCATAGACCTCATGGCCAACAAATTCCACCTTTTCGAGCATCTGCAGGCGTTGAAAAATTACATTCTGCTGGGACAAGGTGACTTTATCGCTCTTCTTATGGAATCTCTCGCCGCGAACCTTGATCGTCCTGCCGGCGCACAGTACAGACATACTTTGACGGCTCAGTTGGAACACGCCATTCGCGGGTCCAACGCGCAGTACGACTCGCCTGAAGTCCTTCGCCGCCTTGACGCCCGAATGCTTCAGCTATCCCATGGCGATATTGGCTGGGACTGTTTTACATTGGAGTACAAGGTTGATGCTCCGGTCGACGTTGTCGTGACCGACTGGGGCAACCGCCAATACCTCAAGGTATTCAACTTTCTGTGGCGCATCAAGCGTGTCGAATTTGCCCTCGCCTCTACTTGGCGCAAGTGTATGACAGGTTCACGCGGGGTGCTTCAGAATTCCGACCCCGTCGTCGTGCAAACGTGGAAATCAACGCGTGGCATTCTTGCAGAGATGATTCACTTCATTGGTCAGCTACAATACTACATCTTGTTCGAAGTCATCGAGTCGTCTTGGAACGAGCTTCAGAAACGGATACATCGCGAGGGCTGTACGCTCGACGACCTCATCAAAGCACATACTCGATACCTCAACGACATTACACACAAGGGCCTCCTAGGCGCGCGGCGTAGCGTCCGTCACGCTGATATGGCCGCTGGCGAAGACGATCGTACCTCATACCTGTCTCAGCTCGGTGACCTTCTGCGCGCCATGCTCAGCTACCGCGACTCCGTCGACGGCCTCTACAGCTGGAGCGTGTCCGACTTCACGCGGCGGCAGGAGGCCGACGTGATGCGCATCTCCACCCGCGGGCCGCGCCACCAGAAGAAGGAATCCATGCCGGGAGGAGACGGCGAGGACGAGAACCCGGCCGTCGCGTCAGAGTTCCCTGTCCTTCAGGACCGTCTGCGCCAGCTCGGCGCCACGTTCCGCACCCGCCTCCAGATCCTGCTGGGCGACCTCGCGTACCAGCCGGACGTTGACATGCGTTTCCTCGGTGTCGCCATGAATTTCAACGATGTCTATCAGCCCTCGCGGAGGAAGACAAAGACAACCTCGACGGCCTCTGCAAACACTTCGAGGGCTTGAAGTGTGGAAATTGTGCAAACGAGACATGGGAAAGCTGAATCGAAACGTTTTGGGGCCAAAAAGGGAACTGGCATTGAATCCGAATCAAAGCTGAACATTAAGACACGGCATAGATGGAATGGGAAACGAACGCCCAAAGTGAGTTCCATTTGACCAGCCCCACATCCGCAACGTGATCTCGATCGCGCGGAAAACGTTGCATTCCCGACTCCAATGTCAGAGTCGGTCAGTACGGAGTATTTTATTCTTGGAGGGAAGCTTTGGGGGCCAAGCGAGGCATTCGGGGGGCTTCCAGGGCTAAGACAACATGGCCACGCGATTTCGCGGAGTCGGCGCAAGCTCCGCGGGAGCAAGGTGGGAGGTGAACAAGGCGGTGGGTGGGGAGAAATTCCACGTTTCCCGTCCGCGCAATGGTAGAGAGACATTTAGAATTAGGGCGTTTGCAGCTTTTGCATACCTGGGTGAGCGGATGGGAAAGGCAGAGAACCCGATACTTGATTGGAGCTTTTACGTAGAAGCAAACTGCAGAGAAGCCTCTCATGAATGATGAACTATCTTACCTACCCATCCTCACGACAATTTGTCACGTTGCAACGAACCTTCCTTTACAAGGCTGTTCATCTACCCTGTGAGGTTCGCCAAGGGCTACAGCAACGTCCAGTTCACAAACAATATAGATAGGCTGAGACAGGCAAACGGCAATCACACTTGAACATTTGGGACCTTGAGTGAATTTTTAATGAAAAGTTCATAACTATCATGCCATTTCGTCATGGAATCATGAGCCAAAAAAGATTGCAACCTTCCCAATGACAAAGGGAACAGGCGCAGTCTGGCCAGGAGATGATCTATCTGATCCTTGGGTGAACACGTATGATACGGTTACCATGCAGAATTTCCTCACAAGAGAAGAAACATGTAAAAAAGACAACAACCATACCCAGGGCTATGAATGCGCTCGAAGGCACAGAACAAAAGAAAAGCCCGTTTGGATTCCTCCTCTCCCAATCGCCAGCCGATACTCTGACAAAATTACTCAAATGTACATGTTGCGATGCACGCGCAATGCAGCCCGGAGCCTCCGTTTCCCATCGAAGCCTTTTTGGTACCGTCATTGTCCTATGGTGCTGTGAACCAGAGACCCAGAAGAAACCGCGTGTTTCGAGTCTCTCTAGAGACCGGTGTTTTTCCTGGTTCCCGTTTTTTTTTTTTCGTACTCGACGCCAAGATTGTTGCTGAGACGGTGCCTACTCGGACACGTCTCCCAGAATCCATATCTAGTCTATACACGAAAGTCTCGTGGCGGCCGCAGCCATGGCAGAAAAGGCTCAACAATTGATGAGCCATGCCACCGACCCGCCAAACTTTCCAACTTTCTTTTTCGAAACAAATATCTCTGGCGATGCTTTGCAAGCGAGTGCCCGCGTATAGGCATGCCAAGAGGATTGACGCCAAAACTCGTTCGCGAAGTCGAACAGTCTGAAATCGTGATATGCCGCTGAGCGTACAACCAAAGAGGAAGGCCATAATGGTCTCCACAGCAGATAGTGCTGAACTCGCCACAAGGCTGAACCGTAGCATCGTGATTTCGTAAGGTGTACGCCGCCGTAATAAAGTAATTTCCGATAGCCATCAAAGACTGCGAGACACATGCTCGCCTTCCAACGCCGTCTTCCAGAATTCCAATTCGAATTCGCCGTATCCACTTGCAAGAGAGATCCAGCCAGAATCGATCAATCCAGACAATGCGTTCAATAACTCCACCACTCTGCAAATACAGAGCCGTGAGTAAAATTCCAAGCCGAGAAAGAAGGCATGTTTATGTGACGGACGTGTCTAGACGTCCATCATTTCTGTGTCTTCGTCCACCAAGGTGGGAAGGGCTGTTGACTCGCTAGGTCCCCAGACACCTTCAAAGACAGTCGCAGCTGATCTGCGACGTTCGGCGACCCACGACATCGCCGTAGTGGTCAGTAATTGTTGAATGGTAGGTCGCTCGCCAGGCTCGGGCCTGACCATCCAGCGGACGATTTGATCCAGCGAGCTGGGGTGGAAAGGGTCGCTCATAAAGTCCGGGGGAGATCTGAGCTCGGTGCGCTTTCGCGTAATGAAAGGGCTGCTTTCGTCGTCCATGACCACGTTCACCCGAGTAGGGGCGATTCCCGAATGCAGGCTGATATCTGGAGCACTGGTCTGACCGAGGAGTGGGTCGTCCAACGATTGCATAGTAGGAACACCAGCGGCGTCTCGGTATGAACTAGTCGTAGTGGTGGCGCTGAAGGTCAAGCTAGGAACTTCGGACAAGTCACCAGAGCGAAGAGCAATCCACGTAGGGCCGTTGTCGGGGAGAACGACGTTGGCAGCCATCTCAATCAGGATGAGACCGAGTGAGAAAATATCCGCAGGCTTGTTGAAATCGCCGCGAAGGATTTCAGGACCAATGTACTCCCTGTCTCCCTCGGCGTCGACGCCCTTGGCAGCAGGCCACTCGGTAGCCAGGCCAAAGTCGCCAATCTTAAGGATACCCTCAAACGTGATGAGAATGTTCGCCGGCTTCAGGTCGAGATGAATGAAACCAGCTTCGTGAATGCTTTGAAGACCCTATCTCCAAGTCAGTCGTCAGACGTCACAAAAACAAGGCAATCTTTACTCACCAAGCCAATGTCGTGGATAACCTTCCAAATACGGAAGTCATCCAGTCGGCCTTTGCGACCAACGTTGCTCAAGAACTTGTCCAAGGTACCTTCGTCGCAGTATTCGGTTTGAATGTAAAGGTATTGGTTGTATTCCCAGCTGTCGACGTAGTGGATAACGTGGTCTGCGTGTGTCAGGGCCTGAAGTGCGTGAACTTCCCTGAGCTTGGCCAGACGATCCTTGGGTCCAGTGAATTGGCGGCGTGCCTTCTTCACGGCGTAAATACGATCGGGCTCGGGACTCTCGCGAGGGTTCTTCGTCGGAGTTCCACTAAAGACAGAGAGGAACGAGGCGCGGGAGTATCCGTTCTTGACCACGCGGAAGACGGAAGAGAACTCTCCCTTGCCAATCATCTCGACCTTGTCAAACCGCGAATAGAGTGAGTCTTCGACATCGCCGCCACCACGACCGGCATTGACGGGGGTCATGAGGTGTGTCGAAGTGCTTTGAAAGGATTCTCGCCCGGATGGAGTAACCGGGGTAGTAGTGCTCCGCGTTGACTCGGCTGGGTTCGAGATTGACAGGCAACTGGCATCGGGAAGAACAACGTGAGACGAGGGAGTCCTCGGGGAGCGCTGTTCCACAGGGCTAGCTATATGGTGAGGAGTAATCTTAGCCAAAATGTCCTTTTGATGATCACAATCCGTTGTACTGGTACAAAGTCGGGTCCGCAATGGCGAAGGAGCACTAAACCCCCTTCTAGACCTCGATCGACCAAAAGACGGCAAAGAAAGACGCTGCGTAGGAGACGGTCCATCGGTAAGAGAGCTAGTTGAACCGAGCGGAGAACTCGGTAGGGGGCAACTGGCACTCTTGTCGTCGGACCGCTCCCGAGCGGTATACATACCAGTAGATTCTCTAGAAATCATCGGCCGCACAGCTGACATGGGAGGTGGAAGTGACCTCTTGGCGCTGGGACTTTCGATGCTCTGCTCGCTCAAGTTGCTCAGACTGGGAGTGAGGCCCTTGCTCGGTGTGAGTCCATGTTTCGTAGGAGTAGGAGGGGCGTCGATGTCAGCCCCAAGGCCGATGTTGAAGTTGGTGTCGAGGGAGAATTTCTTATCATCATCCAGACTCAAGACACTTCCTCGGCGTGCATGGCGCGATCCCAGCCTTTGGAAGATGCCCAGACCCTTTCCGGGATTGCCGCCGAAGGTGCTGCGTGACGGGGCACCGGGGGCCACGAACGGAGTTGAAGGCATGCCGCCAAAAGAGTAACGGTTGTTCTTCTTGATGGCGCTTCCGGGAGGAGGCGGAAAGGTGGCGAAACCGTTGGTTGGCTTCTTGCAAGGCGTATCAGGCATCGTGAGCTTGTTGTCTTCCTCGGGGTTGCGGTTGACCTTCGAAACGAGGCCTGTAGACATGAAAGCTCCCGCCCATGGCTTAGCCGCCTTGAAAGGTGTGACAGTCTCATTTTCCTCCTGCATGAAGAGTGGCCGAGAAGAACCGTAAGGCATCGACTTGGCGAAGTTGAGAGGAGCCCGTGGCTTTTCAAAGACGTAGGGAGGAGGCATGCTGTTGTTCTGCTCCTCGAGACTGTTGCCAGACGTCGAGGTCACCAGCGTCTTTGACAGCGGATGAGGCTGATGAGAAGACCGCTCAACGGGATGAGCAGAGGGGTTGGGCAAAGGCCCGTTTGAATTGAAAGGGCTGTCCCGAGGAAGCTGAGGAGGGAGGAATTGATCCATCGATAGGCGGGGCCGGTTCTTGACATTGGGAGTTGAAAAATCTCCGCTCATCTGAGCCAAGTGACTCGCGCCAGACTTACGTCCCCACGAACTCCGATCATGCTGTCTCTGCTGCAACGTTGAACGTCGTAGAGAGCCGGTTCTTCTCGGAATCTGAGGCGGGGTAGGGGATGGGAGTGGCTCTCTGGGAGCAGGAACGGTTGGCGAGCCAAAGAGCTCGTACTCACGCTCACGGTTCGCCTCATCGTGGATGTCAAAGTTGGTTTTGCTCGGCGTGTTGCTGGTGTTATCGAAAATGGTGAAGTCAGATGTGTTTTGACCAAAGCTTGAAATACCATGTAAACTTCTTCGCTTCGCGACTGGGCTACCCAGCGACGCCTGATCCAAATTCATGATCGCGTCGCTGCGCTTGAGAGCGCCCGATCCTGGTGCTCCTTGCGAATCGCCCTGACTTTCCAGATGCTTGAAGATATTCGACTGTTGAGCGTGGCCGGATACGTCGAGATGAAGGCTATGGCGTGATGATTTTTGGAGGGACGATCGGGAACGCGGGCTCTGTTGTGCAGAAGACTGGTTATTTTCCTGGCCCGAGGCCTCCGAGCTTGAAGATGAGGAAGGAGTGGAATTTACCCCCGAGTCTGTTGTAGCGTTGAGCGCGCGTTTGAGGGGGGATTTAGGCGATGTCCTTAATCGAGTCGCTGGCCTCGAGGGGCTGCCGGTTGCCTTTGCTGATTTTGCCGAGCGTAGTGAGAGCCGAACACTGGGGCGAAAGGGTGTCGCAAGGGTTGGTGGAGAGCTAAAGGGCGTCGTTGAGGTCATGGAAGGAGGGAGCCCCGCTGGTGTATGGCTTTGGAAATCCCCAAAGTTGATGTTGTTGTGGCTGCTGCTAGGAGGCGTAGGGGTAGGAGTGTATCGTCGGCAGGGCGATTGTTCTTGCACAGGCGTATGAGAACCGCTGTGTGAGCTCTCTGAGCTGGGGGAACTCGTACGCGCCAGGCTGAACTTTGAAGGTGATCGGGAAAGAGACCTTCGCAGGCTCCGGACTGAGGATGCGAGCACATCTACATGGTGGACGTGCGTGGGGCTAGGAACAGTGAGTGTTCCGCCACTGCTATTGGAGAACGACATGGTGAAGGTGTTCTTGGTGTCGTAATGATTGGGTGTCTTTCTTCTGGTGTTGTTGTTGGTCGCTGTCGAAATACAAAGAAGAGCAAATTCACTTGTAGGAAGTGATGTGATTGTGTAGGCGGTAGGTGTGCTCAGCAAGCAATGAATCAATCCTTGTTCCAAACAATCTGTCGCTGGTATTCGTCGTCGTATACTGTTCCGCTGATGAACCTATGGTGTTTGGTAGGTGGTAGAGCAAAGCGCGGTCGATGGTGATATGCCGTAGGTGTTGAGGTGAGGGCTAGGTAGAGCGCGTGGTGTTCTGCCGTTCCGTGGACGATCGGAGGGATGCTGACTACGATGACGAGACGTGAGGGCAGTAGTCCCGGGTGCGCGGAGGGTAGGGAGTACGGAGTAGTGTCGTCGTTGTTTTCGTGGGGTTTATCCCAAGATGGTGATAGGACTGGACGTGTGTTTAAGGGTCCAAGTTGTGTGTATGTGCCAGTACTGGTTACACGTGGACGAGGCGAAGTGGCCTGGTCAGCCAGAAAGGGCGCCCTCGTTCTTGGTGTGATGATGGGTGTGGACGCGATGTTGCAGAAAAGAAGGCTGAAAGAGAAGGAGGAAGAAGAGGGTCCAGGCAGGAGGACAAGACGAGGCGAGGCCGAGTAGGTAGGCGTAGGCAGGCAGAGAAAGAAGGGACGGGACGGGAGCGCAAGTGCGTCTACTGCATGGCGCTAAGGTCTGAGGGGGATGGTTTGGATAAGTCGAGCGAGCAGGAACGTTCAGGTATGCGTCTTGCTTCGCATCTTCATTCCGCTTCAGTTGGCGATTCGTGATCGGCAGAGGACCTTGTCAAGTCATCGCATGAAGGGACGGTACCGGTAGATGGATGGGATCTTGTTGCGTCCCGTCGTCTGATGAGAGGCGCGCGCGCGAGAGTGGCGAAACGACAAGACCCTTGGGGGAAAGGTAGGGTGAGTTTTGTCGGGAAGGGGACCAAAAACTTGGAAACGCGGCAAGGAGATGGACGCAACGAAACGCACAAAACGGGAAGGGAACAGAAGGAGTTGTGAGGGTAGGAGAGAGGTAGGCGCAAATAGGATTCGGGGAAGAGGAGGATGCGCGGTGAGTGTGTGCGTCGGGTTGTGTGCGTCAAGAGCGAGCGGGTGGGTGAAGTGGGTGGTGGTTGGGTTGCGGGTTTGCGGGTGTAAGTGCGAAAGGTGCAGCAGCGCAGCGCAGCGCGAGCCGAGTGGGTTTGGGACAGTACGGATACGCGAGTACCTAAGGTAAGGAAGATGGGAGAGACCACGACCAGGCAGGTAATGGGTGAATGAATGGTCGATGCAGGCGGGTGGGCAGGCAGGAATGGCACGTCCAAGCCGGGGGATCGCAGTCAGGATGGAGACTTTCCTTGCCAAGGTACCTTACCTTTAGGTGGTGAAGGCGAAACTTGACTGGTCTCTCTGGAACGGGAGTGAGAAAGGGCGTGCAGATGTGGACACTGAGAAACCTGGGAAGTCGCTGCTTCTTTTTTCGCGATGGCGCGCGTGGCGTGTGTTGTTTACAATATTTCCCAAACCAGCTAGATTCACACGTGACTACGCGCCTCGAAGTGGATCCGGTCAGTTAGAGCAAGACCGCAGCTGAAGCCGTTCAGGAAGCCACAAGGTCGCAGATGCAGGTCCCGGATTGGGGAAAGAAGAAACAAAAAGAAAGAAAAACAAAATCTCATCACCCAGCTCTAGACATGCAGCGTCTCAACTGAAGAATCTCAAGGCTGCAAACTTGTCTTGCTTCTTCGTGATGATGGCCAACTTTGGGCCCGAGTCTGTTTCTCTTGTCCCTCATTATTATGTCCACCCACTAACTACTAGTCACAAGCCAACAAACACACAGATCCACGACCTCTTTCTAACCCTGACATCACTAAACCCAACTTACCCAACGGTCTGGCGTCCAAAAGACGCCAGGGGACCCCCCAAGATTGTGCCGGGGGGGATGCCTTTTTGGAGGTCTACAAGCATCGTCTATTGGTTGAATCCTTCCATCTGCCTGCAGGGTCCCGCCCACGCGTCTGAAGTCTCCTGCAGCCCAAACCTCACCAGACTCCAGACAGAGGAAAATATGGGCAAGACAACGAGGGAGATCAACACGCTCTGGAGACGTATTGGACAATCAAGTCTGGCGCACTGCGAGAATGCACAATGTGCGGGACTGATCCATATCCATCTCGTCTAAGCGTCCGCACCGCACCGTCCAACCAAGACCAGACGAGGCTTGCGCTCCTCCCTCTTACACGGAATTCTTCTTAGTTCTGGGGCATCCATCTCTTCTTCCTCCGGGACGGCCTCACGCCTATTCGCCTCGTCCAAGATCCAGCTTGCCAGGCCCAACATGCAGTCACACACTCTGCAGTAGTCGCTGCAGTGCCAAAGGGGGCCCCCCTTTCCCCTTGGTCTCATAGCCACGACTCAACTGCCACTTGTTCACTCTGGACTCCATCGACACGCAGCATAAGCCAGGAACGCTTCTTTTCTTTTCTTCTTTTTCTTTCCAACTCGTCATTCTCGGGCTGTACAAGATTATCTGCGTCTCGGACACGAGTGACCACATTGGCGAGCCGCCTGTCGGGCAGCGGGAAAAGGTGGGCTCATCATCAAAATAGAAAAGACGGCTGACCCATGGCTGATGGAGCCAGGCCACTAAACAAACGCGACAAGCCACAGCCGGGAACCAAAACAAAACAAAAACACCAAAACAAATACTTCGTCAACACAACCTCGAGGTACCTCGCCGCAGGTACCTTACCTTACACTCACATACGCGCACACACTTCGCCGTAGGTACACAACTCGTCGTCACCACTGGACCGTCATGACCACCACACTGGCACACACACACACACACACAGGCCGACAGCCATCAACCTTGCCTCACCAATTATTGCCTTCCCAGCTGTCCGGTCCATTCATCATGCAGCATGCCTATAGTTCAATATTCCCAACATATCGACTGGGCTCTCCACAGTATCGCTCGCAGCTTCCGATCTCAATGGGGAAAGCAGCAAGGTCAGCGATTGATTGCGCCTGATATTACGATTTCATGCCTGTGACCGCGTCATCTCGCTTCACTGAAAGTCTGGAGGAAACGTGAGAGAGAGCACCGCAAGCTGCCCAAAGCACTCCTTGACAACCACTAGACTCCTAGAGATGCCAGATGGCATCGCAGAGAATCGAGGGCACGGTCGAGCTCGCCGGGCTAGCGAATCTGGGACGACCTGGAGCCTCCTGCCCGGCCCCTCGTCTGCCTCAAATCTCTTTTTTAGCTTACTGCCCACCAGCCAACGTTGAAGCTCCTGGAACGTTTGGGAAAGGTCAAACACCATGGTGCGCGGCAGCGGCTTTACAAGGTTTCCTCTAAGAAGAAACTGGTGGTTCTCTCCATGCTTCGTTCTTGCTCTTCTCAGTGATTCAAACTGGAGCTCTTCAACGGGCCGCTTTTCAAAAATAAAACGGGCGTACCGCGAAGAGAGTCAAGACCACGCACGCCTTTCTCATTCGGCCCACCACGCGGGCAACTCAGTAGGACTAGGGCGGGGGAGGGGGGAAGTGCTGAGCTTGGATCCCCGTTCGAGCCTCGAAAGCTCGGACACTCTTTGACCTTCAGATGGAATTCTGGTCTCTATCTTTCAGCACAGTCAGTAGACTCCCGCATGTCGTTGGGACGGCGGCCGCAACTCTGGAATAGAGACGGGAAGGGAGGGCGCTTCCCCTCCGAAGAGACGGGCACGACTCGCCGCTGCAACACAAAGGAGACGGCAATGCAAGTCAAGAAGATTTCGAGGTAAGGGGAAGGTGTCAGCCAAGGTAACACCAATATTCCTCAAGAACCGGAGCACACCAAGAACGCAAGAAAAGATGGGATGACTTTGAAATTGGGTGTAAGTGAGTGGACCAGCTCAGCTGAACGGTGAACCCCATCGGCACCCTTTCTGTGCGTCAAATCTCTAATACGATGCAGCATCGCAGATTGCGCAGCCGCGGCCCGCCATGGTAAAAGCAATGTCCTCGGTTCTCGACAATGAACAACCGCAGACTTCCGAATAGCCCGTTGGCAGTACCGTAACTGTTTGGCGGCCGCCAAGCATTATGGGTAAAGATGGCCAACCCACCCTGCCCTTACACAGTAGATCAAACGGCTCCTCTTTTTGACAATCTGCAATCTGCGTGGACACTTTTTTCGCGGAGCCAACTATCCGTACGGAGTCTTCAAAGGTTAGGTACTTACGATACTCGGTAAAGATGGATACCTTGCCTTCTATCTAATCAAGCAAGCGATATCCATACAGTACCCGTCGCCGTCGTTGTCTCCGCCAATCTCCTCCCCAGTCCGTCTCCAGATTAATCGGATCTCCCGTCCTTGTTTTGTTTGGAGTACCCGATTTGTTGACTTTCCCATTGTTTATTGATTTGCCGTCAACAACAATAGGTAAACTACCACCAAGAAATCTCCTATCGATACTGGAATTCCTCTCTCCCCCTCTAAAGACCCTCTTCGGGCCCCAAAAGCCCCTCCCTTTTCCCCCCCTCTCTCGCCTCCTCGGATCCTTCTGCAACTGGCACAGCACAGACTCCCGAAGACAGAACCAACAGCCAAATTGGGGCGGCATAGGCGGGAAGAAGGGAGGGGCAAAAACTGCCCGCATCTGTGTCATTGTGTCAGACATGAGGCTTTTGCGAATCATGGTACCCAAATGGTCAAGACAGCACATGGAAGAAGAAACGACTTTTTTGACAATATGTATTCAATATCCGAATTATCGGCATCCAACCGTTGCGACCTACGCCCAATCAAAGACTGGTTCGTAGTAAAACTTGGACAAAGAGGTAAAGTTCGGTGACCGAACTGCCGGGTAGCCTAGCAGAAGCCAACCATCGTTCGCCCCGTCTATTCGCAGTTTCGCGCCCCGGGGCTTACTGTGGACCGCCGACGGGCGCCACCACTCCGAGGATAGAAGAACGTCCCGGATCACCCGTCTCATCCGCTTTGCTTCTTCAACCTCGTCACTTATATCTGTCCAAGATACCTTATATATCGCATTGTCTCTATTCAGTCTGTCTCGAACAGTCCTCGTCTCAGGTAGGCCTTTGTGCCGGGACAGAATTGTTGCAAAAACCCATCTTCAATACGGTGAACTTGGTAAGCATGGTAAGGTGGGTAAAGAACCTGCTCCTCCTCCAGCTTTATGAATCAAAGGGATGACGAGGTTGTGGAAAAAAACAACATACCCAGAAACGCATCGACTCTTCCAGCCCGCCCTTCCCTCCGGTTCCCCCGCCGTTTCCCGGCTCTTTCGTCCCTGATTCTACCTTTACTGCCCTGTTTTCTTCAATAATGCCAGACCTCAACCTCGTGAACCCCTTCCTCTCGCAAGTCTCAAGTCCGATATATTGAAAATTGACTCAAAACCCCCCTTCGAGGCCCCAACCCATCCATTCATCCATACCGCACTAGGCCCGTCTCGCTGCGACCCAGAAAGACCCCGAAAAACAAAAAGAGAACCCAGCTCAAGAAAACCAATCTTGCATCCAAAACATCAAGGGTCTCTCAGGGTCCTGCAGGGTCTCTTTGCCAAAGTTTACCGTGGTATGAGGCATCGACGATCCGAACTACATTCACCCACTGGCATCCAATCCATCATCATCGCCCCACCCTTAAGGATGCCCAAAAAAACAACATGTAAGTCCACTGGGGTATGGGCATGGCATGGGGAAGAAAGTGGCCCTGCAGTAGGAAAGAGGGCAGTTTTGCAACTTTGCGTCCGTACCGTCCGGCCACGGCCACGGGCACTAGCGTAGAAAACATAACGTCACAGCCAGGGCGGGTTCTCAGTCAGGCAGCAAGACCCGTCGATCACATCAACAGATCAACATCAAACAACCAAAACATCGCATTCACTCAGCCATGCAGCCACGCAGCCAGGGCACGCTAAAGTATGGTCTTCCCGCCGGGCGGCGGGGAAACTTAAACTTTTCTCAAGATGTGCCGGAAATACCCAAGCCTAGCAAAAACAAAAGAAAGAAACGTCATTATCACACTTGTCTTCTTTCAGACCTCTTCTTCATGCAGTTGCTTTTGTGTAAGAGAGTGTGAAGCTTGGAGGGTAACTGGGAGCCATTCACCGCCCTCAAACTGGTTCCTGTTTACTTCAAGTGTTTCCTTTGTTCGGGCTCACACTACAGACTACCTAGTAGGCATCTTTCTCTGCCTAAACCAAGTGGGTGAAAGGCCAACCTAAACCACCATCCCCCCCGCCCGTCAAACCCAAAGAAACCCAAGACCCAACGCCTCGGAACTGAACCAACCCCAAATCATCATGCAGCTTGCATCGCTCATCTGTTCCCCTCACCTCTAGGCCTTGCCTTTTCCAGAAGCTTCGTAGGTTGGTATCCATAGGAGATACCTGAAGCTCGCTTTCCCCGTTCCTTGTCTGTCGAGAAAAGACGGGAGAGGGGTTCACTTGGTAGACCCCGTTGATCCCGCCTGGGTATCAATTATACAGAACAAAAAACAACAACCCAAAAGCCGATCCAGACGTCATGTACTTCTACCGGTCATGGCCTTTTTTGTGATCAAAGAGGTCGATCGATCGATCGTCCATCTCGGCAGAGCAACGCTTACGACAGGTTCTTTCGAATCCATTCTGCCCAGGAGCAGAGGTCCTCCATCACCTCGAGCAACCTGCCCAAGTCCTGCGGGGTAAACTGCTTGCCCTTCCCCTTGTCAGCCTCCGCCGCATCACTACCATCGGCCGGCACGATGTTTTGTGACACGACATGTACCACTCCGTTCTGCTGGATTTGCAGGTCCACGTTGGCGGTTGCGCCGCGGAAGGGAAAGACGATATGCAAACCAGCAGAGGGATGGACCGTCAGCACCACGTCCAGAGTAAGCTCCTGCTCGTTCTCGTCATAGCTCTTGGACATGAATCTCTCGTATTCGGCCTGCGTTGTTGTCGTATCACTCATTGTGATATTTTCATGAACCTCGGGTAAAGCCTCGCCAGAAATATCAGATCCGAAGCTTCTCTCCAATAGCGTCGAGATCAGCGCATACTGGCGGAGGATGGGTAGCATTGCTACCAGCTGCCGTGGGTGCGAGAACGATAGCTCGGTGACTGTTTGTCCATACACTGGTTTGTAGATAAGCAGCGTGTTCTTGTGTTTCCGGGATGAGACGGTGCTATCATTGCTCGGCATCGGAACACTCCTCTTGCAAGAGATGACTCTTAGCTCGCTTGCATCATGGTGACTCCCTTCGGGTATCGGGAAAGATATGCTATCAAACGTGTAGGTCGGCAGAGGCATGGGCTGAGCCTGAGCTCCTGTGAGGGTGTGTAGTGTGTTCCATACCGACTGCGGCACGATGACTGAGGGGGTGAGTGTCGCGACAAACTTGACGTTCGGGTATTTGTGCGTCGTGCCATCCGCCTGCACCACGTCGATGCCCGAATCCTTATTGTCGTCCGTCTGTGGCAGCGTCGTAGGCTCCGGTTCCAGCCAGTCAAGAGCCGGCCCAGAAGCTGCAACGAGAAGATCCTCGGGTCCAGGCTCGGTCTTCTCAACCTTTTGGGAAATCCAATTCTCAGACACCCGAACGGGAGGGAACATTTCACCATCCAACGCCTTACAGCCTATGAGAATCGACCAGGCCTTCTCCATGTTCTCGCAGTAGCGCGCCGTCTCTGGTGCTTTGGGGATGACATGGCGCCTCTCCGTCCAATACTCGATGCTTAGTCCCACCATACCCCTCGAATGCATCCTCGGACAACCGCTCTTGGTGCACATAGCAGTCGTCTCGAGGAAACGTTCGGGCTTGCCGCTCATGGCAGGGTCTTCCCGCAGCTTCGACATTTCCCACTTGTGGAGTCTTTCGAGACTCTCAAAGATGCCGGCTAGAGCCTCTTGGCAGTCAACTCCCGGAATGACGCTCAGCTTGTCGAGAGTTGCCAGACGTTCAAGATTGGCAGAGAACGCTTTTAAAGTCTTGGTTAACGGGCTCTGGTCAGGGCGAAGTTGCAGATCCTTGAGCAGGATGTTGCCAGCTTGATCCTTGTGTCTTGTGACAACTGGCCCAGATTCTGGAAAGCCCAGCGAGACATTCTCCACGATGTTGTTGTTCAGCTCGATATCGATGGTCAATGCCTGTCCGGCGATGACGAGCATTTTTGTTTTCCTGCCGTCGGGCGACCGATGCTCATCCCACATGCTAGTAAGACCAGTTCGGAGCGTAAGTCGTTCGAGGCCTGCTTCGCTGACTCGACCTGTTGCCTTCTACAAGGACATCGTTAGTTCCCATTGTGACCACGAGAAACAAACACTCATGACTTACGCTGAGAATATCAATGACGGTATCAAACCTCTTGAGCTTGTCGTCCTCGCTGCCCAATGCTCCCAAACCACCGAAGCCCGCGATCCCGGCATGATCTAGCCCCATGTCCAATCCACCACTGATCCCAAGCGCACCCATCGCGGCTGCTGCGGAAGGGCTATCGAAGTTGAGAGCACCATTAGCTGGGTGGCCCATCAAAGTGGTCGAGGTCGCCGGCGATTTCTTGAACTGCTGAGGCGACGACTTAGGTCCTCTCGGCGAAAAGGCTGTGTGCGCTTGCGATGCTGAAAAAGGCGTCGACACCGGCGGGGTCGCTGCTGTAAGCTGCGAAGGGGTTCTACCCTGCTGGGAAGCCGCATGCTTCATCTGCGTCGGAGTAGCCATGTTGTGATTCGGTCAATCGGTCGGTCGATTTCGATCGTGGTTGAAGGTAGGAGCCGTGGAAGGGTAGAGTCGCGCCGTGATACTATATCTGCACCCTTGCGGCCATCAATTGAATATTCGATGCCAATGCTTCGTCTCCAAGTTCCGTATTTGTTCAAAAGTAGTGGTAGTGCCGCAAATAAAAAAAAATGTGACTTGAAGATAGGATTGTCGCTCCAAGCCCGAGTTGAGCCGCAGAATAATACTTGAGCTGGGCTACCTAAGGTAGATCTTAGCTCGAGCGAGGTACCTACCCCCGACGCAGGTGGTCAAGGTGCCTTAGCGCTACCTTAGTGGAAGGGCAGGCGGTCCGGGTTTTAGCCGACGGGAGCCCTGAGGTACTGGCGAGCCTTCCCATCTTACCTTACATCGGTCAGTCTCCACCAACATCTGGGCTGAGGTAGATTGAAGGCAATTATCAATTGATCATTCTTTGTGTTACTTTGACCAATGTGTGCATTGATCTCCAGCCCCGCTCGAATAAACCTGGAACGGGAATTGAATTATCACCTAGTCGAGTGAGTCTTAGTCCTCCTCATCGACCTTCGTCCCGTTCTCAATTCCAATATTGAACCCGTATTGGATAGTTTAGAACCCAGGACGTTGAAGTCAATCGATGCCGAGACCATTTGTGTACCCGTGAGACCGACCGACATCAACACTAGCCAGAACCATAACCCAGTTGCTAGTCAAATTCGTTCTCACATTTGGCTAGAAGGACTCTGCTCGTCCAACTAACATGAAGGAGAGATTGCCTTCAACATCACAACTTCACGATTTCCATGGCCTGTGGTTTTGAAGCAGCAACAGCTTTTTTTATTTCCATTCGTCAAGTCATTACCTAAAGAGACAGTTTCCAACACACGTCTCACACTTTTGTGAAAGGAACAATCGTCATAAGGTCATCATCCTAATCCCCCATCTCTGACACATTTCAGCGCCAGATGATCCTCCACTGTATTCGAAACCAAAGCAAAGGAAAAGATGTCGGTGATGTTGATGGTCCGTCCTCCGGTGTGGTGTTCGCATGCCGCATTGCCCGAGTATCATAACGGGCCAACAGGCCGTAGTTTCCAACCCCACCGTGCTCTTTCGTGTATGTTGTCCCGAAGATCCGGAAAAAAGAAGAATGGTCGAGTCTTTAGGATTACGTCCTCCCCCATGCAAGGCGTCATTCATCAGCATCTACAGCCGTGATGGGCGTTTAAAAAACAGGGAATGAGAAGTCGTCAGCTCGTCAGCGTCGTCTCCAGTGGGTCCTCGATGCCGAAAAGTCGTCTCGCGAATAAAAAGACAAATAAGAAAATTGGTGTGCAAAGAATGTCAAGAGACCTCGCACTCGAGGCTTCAGGATCATAATCAGTTTATCATTATGCCTCAAACCAAATGTCGCCACAACGCCCACCAATGAAGTGACTGAGGTTCAGGGCTGATAGAGTATGGCCGGCCCACAAATGTCGCTGCCACTACCTTCCTTGCTGCTGTTGAGCCATAACAGGAGGAGCGCGAGCCATGGTGTCATACGTGGGAACAGCCGAGTTCATGAGCGTCTTTCTGCGCTTCATGTCCATGCCGCCACCGCTCAGCGGACGCTGCAGGTCGTCGTCATCATCACGACCACGCTTGATGCCACTCGAAGCACCGTTCATCTGTGAGGGGTACCCGTTGGGCATGGAGTTCATGTCGGACTGAGGCTGGTAAACATTGTTACCGCCAGCAGCTGCAGAATTGCGGTCGGTGATTACATTAAAGAGGTTGCTTGAAGATTGCTGGGCGACACGCGGAGGCGTGCTGTAGCCGGCCTGCTGGGAGTAGTAAGGCTGAGGTGCAGCGGCGGTACGGGGAGTAGCACGGCCGGATGCAGGAGGGTGGCTGGGTGAGCCTGTCATCTCAGGAGAGAGATGTTGGTGTTCGTTGGAGAGGGATCCAACGGGAGGAGCGGAGTAGTTGTACGATCCGCGGTTGGCATCGTAGGCGCTGCTGTCGTGGGTGTACTCGGCGTCATGCTCGTGGTCAGCCTCTTCCTCGCCCGCAGGCTGAGAAGCATTGGAATCAGGATGCATGATGCCGTTTGAGGGCTTCTGATCCTGGGAGGCGCTCGTTGCAGCGGGCCGTGCTGACGGAGGACCCATATCACTCTTAGCGTATGGGTCGTTCTGGCCGTATACGGAGCGATCTTGCGAGCCCTGGCTGGTTTGGTAAGGGGACTGCTGAGAAGACTGGTTGTACATGGCCCTCGAGCTGTCGTATTGCTGTGTGCCGGTCTGATAGGGCTGCATGTTCTGAATGGTGGAGCCAGGCGGTGTGGAGGCAGGAGTTGCCGGCATGGAACGGGCATTGCTGAGACCAGTGTCAATAGACATGGGGTTCTGGGGCTGCGCGTTGGCCATTCCTTGAGATTGAGCCCATTGGAATCCGTTGTCTGAGGCACCCATGCTGCCACCCATTACGCTAGAAGCGCTAGTCGGGGGAGTAGGAAACGTGTGGGCGCGGTCGAGAGTGGGACGGCCCATGTTAGCATGGGACGGCAGAGGTTGCTGAGGTCCAGGCAATCCCATAGAGTGGTGGTGGTGCTGTTGGATAGACGGCAGCCCAGGTGCGCCGTTCTGAGGAGCACCGCGCATCTGGCTCTGTTCTGCCTTGCGGCGTTCAGCAGCAGCCATGACCTGGTTGGTGCGAGTCTGGTTCGTGGGGTGGTAGAGCAAAGCGCCAATGTTGTGGACGAAGAGGGGATAGAGCAGTTCGGTGATCTTCTCCTTGTTTGCAAAGTCCAAAGCTCTCTCAAAAGGGATCCTGTTATTTTTCTTCGCGTTAGACCTAGCCCGGCCGGATTTGTCTTGGGGCACATGAAACTCACCAGACACCCTTCAGGTGCATAGGGCCAATCTTGACGACGTGTCTCACTTTCTCGCTCTTGAGAATTCCATCGCGGCGACCACGGGTCATACCCGCGACGTTCAACAGCTTGGTTCCATTGATCATGTGATTATCTAGTGTGCATGTTAGCAATGCTTCGGCGACCATTGGATATGCCAATCGAACTTACCCTCGCGACGCGCAACACAGATGCCTCGTGCCTCAACCTGGAAGCACAGGCTGCCTTCGTCCTCCCACAAAGTGGCTGTGACTCTGGGCTTCATACCGGGAGGAGCGACTTGGCCAGTGGTGTCAAAACCCTGGAACCCTCCAGGGTTGACACCTGGGAGAGGCAGCACGTTTTGTCCACCCATTCCGTTGTTCACGGGAGCGCTTTGGGGCGAAGTCAGGCCATTGGCATAACCGTACGGCTGGCCGTATTGAGTCTGCTGCTGATATTGAGGCAGATGGCTTGGCTGTAACGGCGGTGGCTGGGAGTGGTAAGACATTGCGCCGGAGGTCACGGTCTGGGGCGGTGGCGCTTGACCGGCAGAAATATGTTGCTGATAGTACATGTCTGCTGCAGGTTGATTCATGGCGGGGTAATGCTCGTAACCAGGAATTGGTTGACCGGAAGATCCAGGAATCGCCGCGTTGATGGGCAGAGTGGGAGAAGGTGTCTTGGGTCCGTGGGAGGATGCGGCCGACGTGAAGGACGACTGCGAACCTGCGTGAGAGCTTGAAGCGGAGCCAATGGAGCTGACCCGGGGTGACGAGGTACCCGATGAGTACGCCTGATGCAGGTTGGGCAATGGAAGAGACGGCACTCTCTCGCTGTTCATGTACGACGGCCTCTGAGCCGGGTGAGCGTTGTAATACGACACGTCGGTCGGTCCCCGGGTTTGCACTGAAGAAATCGACGGTAAATCCAGCTTCACGGTTGTTGCCCCGAAGGTTCTACCACCAAGCACCAGAGGTCAGTAAAGTCCGGGTCGCCTGGCGAGCCTCGAAACTACGACAGCAGCAGGATGTCAGACGTGCGGAAAGAGAAAGCAATTCTCTTTCAAGGAGTCTTGTCGTGGTGCCGGATTGGATATCCGAAAAAGCTTGGAGCAAGGGCAATTGGGAGCAGCGGACGGGGCTCGGCGGCGCAAAGACTGCAGTTGCTTCCAGCGGTGACGGTGCTACAAAGTATGGACGGAATAATCCGTACAACACACAATGGTTCTTTTGAGGAAAAGAAACAGATCAGGACGGTCGTGGTCGTCGTAAGCAGTCGTTAAAAATCAGGAGATTCTATCTTCGTAGCATCTGAGGTTTGATGGAGATGGCGGCGGCGGTTTGGTAGCTGCGGTGTCTTGTCGAATTGGCGGTGGTAAGCCTTAGGGTGCAGGCTGACTGATGGAGAAGACGTTTGTCGAGGTGGCAGAAGAGGAGACTTTGTGGTGAGTCTCTCGGAATTGCAATGCGGGTTGCACGAATGGAGCCGAGGACGGTGACGATGCGAAGCGAGGGAATGCCCTTTTTCTTCTGAAATCGGGGCTGAGTAACAAGCGGTGGAGGGCCGTTTGTATGGAGGTCTCTATTCAGGCAGGTACCAGACACAGCACACAAACACTCGCGGAGAGCAGGTGGATCGTCTTGGTCTTCCTTGATCTTTGCTTCTCTCTTTTTTTTTCTTCGTCGAGCTCGCCCAACTCTTCTAATGCAGGTACATTAGCTACGAGTTTGGCGTATATAGGAATGGGGGGCGGGTGTGCAGTAGGAGGTGCAGCAGAGGAATGAGAAGGGGAGTTGGAGGTTAGGCGGGTTGAGGTGAGGAGGTGGAAGAAGAGGGTAGAAGAGGCAGTGGAAGTGTAGAAGAAGTTCAGACCTACCGTCCTCGCCTCTTTGGCTATCCTGAGTGGAATATTGGAGGTGGTTGGTGGAGTCGTGAGAGGTAGAAAGAAAAGAAAGAAGACGGGCGTGGGAAGGTTTTGTTTTTGGTGGTGAGAAAAGAAGAGGAGGCAGGTCGAAGTCCATCCATCCACAATCCACACCACACACGCCCTCTGGCCCATGTCCACGCCCACCCCGGCCGGCGCAAGTGCAAGGTGCAGGTGCGGTGCGGGTTGAGGATTGAGGGTTGAGGGTAAAGGTACCTTACTGGGGTACTGCGGTATCCGCACTTTGGTCGATGCTGGTGTGGTACGGCGGTAGCGGTACGGACATGGCAGAGCTCAAGAGCATGGGGCAGGGTCCATGGGGCACCGAGAGGTCGAAGCAGAGAGAGCGCAGACTCCAGGACCCAGAGACTCAGAGCGAGAGGTGCAGAGAGGCGGAGAGGCAGAAGGGCGAGGTACTGTTGGGCAACATTTCGCAGGTAAGTACTGTGTCTACCAGAAGAGCGGCAGGGTTCTCTCTGTCTGTCTGTCTCTCTCTCTCTCTCTATCTTTTGCCCGCTCGCTTGCTTTCTTTGGCCCATGTGTCTGTCTGTCTGTCTGTCTACTGTGAACTGTCTGGCCCGTACTACGTACCATACTTGCGTAGGTACGGAGCCAGGTAGCGCGGCGCTGTGCTGGGAGGGCAAGTATAGCAGCGAGGACTAAGGTATCTCACGGGCAAAAGATACGGACTCTGGTAGCGGCGTTCGACAAGGTAGGTGGGCTTGGGTTGGGAAAATGGCACAGGCCAAGGGCCTGCCCCCCCTCCCCGGAGGAGCTCAGAGACTGGTGGGTTTGGCCGTTCAGTGCTGCTGCTAAGTGGACAGTCCGGCCGACCGGGGGTCGAAGATGAGGGGGTCTTTGGGGGAGGGTGAAGGACGAGCAAGCTGGAGGGCGAGGATAAGGCCGAAAGTACCGTGGTACGGAGACCGGGGGGGTCTCTACCAAGTGGGATGGATGGGGGGGGGGAGGGATTGAATGGGATGCTAGATGGGAGGAGAAGAGGAGAAGGAGGGGAGGAGGATGAAGAGCGGAGAAGGGGGGTGAGGTGGGGGGTGGGAGAAGGAAGAGAGAAAAAAAACCGAATTAGAGCGACGACTGGCGGAAAAGATACGTACCCAGTTTTTTTCTTCCCACCCGGTAAGGTAAAGTATCGGCGGACAGATGAGCGAAAGTTGAGGTGCGCGAAGTATCCCGGTACTTCGGTCGTCGACGACGAAGCCACACACACACACACATACACACACTCATCCGCGGCACACATAGAGACACATACAGCCAACAGCCAACGCACACGCGCTCCAAAGTCCAAAGGAGCGAGCAGACAGCAGAACCATGGACCCTACTACCAAAGGAGCCTTCCCTTGCCTACCTTGTGTGTATTCACATTCAAGTTCATGGAGCTGGGAGCTTAACCTCGATCCGTCTCTGGAACCAAGGTAAGGTACGGACGTACTGCGCTGTCTATGTTTCTTGTCTTGGTACCCAATTCTCGTCAGCTCCTTCAACTGCTCTCTCCCTTTGCGTTTATTTTCTTTTCTTTTGCCTCAATGTCTATTTTGCAACGTCTGTCTACAAAGTAGGTACTGTTGATGGCATGGGACGTGCACTTTGGGATGCAATGTAGTCGGTACCTACAACTCCTTCGGGGTCTCATGTACCTACGCAGCATGGTCCTGGTCCTTCCTCTGGTCGCTCGTACGGCCTGTAATCGGTACAGTATTTTTTTTTTTTTTTTTGGCTGTTTATCTTTTCTTTTTCCCGACTCCAAGTCCCAGGTGTGGGCTCTGTTTCTCGTATGTGGACGGGACGGAACTGACAATGTTCCCCCAGTCTGTCGACTTATCCTCAGCTTCTGGATGGAGCGAACGAGAAGAAGCCTCAGGGAAAAGTGGAGATATTGACTCGTACGGAGTACCTTGTGTTCACGAGTGCCTAACGACTCCGCTTTCTCTCTCTTTTTCTCTTCCAACAAGCCGTACGTCTGTCTGTCGCATACAGCGTGCGGTGCCGGTACGCTTACTGCGTTTTGCCCTGTCTTGCGTTCCTCTCTATCCATGTGGGAATGCGAACCTCAACAGCACATCCATCACCTCACCTCACATTGCCTTTCCGTACCTTGCCTTAGCTGGCAGCGGGCCTTTTTACTCTGCTTCTGCGTCCGCACCTCGAAACCTGTTCCTCCCTCCAAGTACCAGCTCCAAGCCCCAAGCTCCGTCTCTCTCACTCTGACTCTCCCTGTCAGGTTGATCCGTGGCTGCGTCGGTAAGCGACTCGACCGCCGGCACTCGCCTCTCTTTTTCGTCTCTTCTTCGGCCTTGACCATTGGGTCGGGCTGGGGCGCAGAGAGTAGGTATTCTCAGCCAGCTACCCGAGCCCTGGAAGGGTGGTACGGCCAGGCTAAGCTAACCGTCGCCGTTCGGTGGGTGTAGGGAAGGGCAGCGACAAGAGTCGGGAAGGGGGGGCGTGCCACGGGAGTAATGGCGTCGAGGACCTCGTTGAACGTGGGCCTCGTTGTTGTTTCCCGGGGCCCAGTGTCGTCGCTCGAGGGGCGTGGTCAGAGTAGGGTGACACCAGGTAGAGAGGGGTCTGTTGTCCTTGACCAGGGTGGCCCATGGCCTGAGTTCAAGCCCCAGTCTGTCGCGGTCGGTCTGTCGGCCTTTCAGAAGGAATACTCAACACACCGGGCCTAGACACTCTGAGGCGGACGGACAACGTGGAGGAGCAGGCGTACGGGCAATGATGGATTCCCATCTAGACAATGTCCAGACTACGCAAGTAAACGCAGTTCAACGCAAGCAAGCAGGCCAATGTAGATAATGCCAGGGCCTTGTATTGGCAGGGAAGCCCGCCAGGCCTAGGGCCTACTCCAAGCCCAAGGACTCTCTCTCACGAGACGAGGTACCAATACCTGTGCGAACATCGTACCTCACCCGACCGCAACTGCGACTGAGCAGAATGCGGGCGTGGACGTTGGCTGCTCTGTGCCAAACAACCTCGACCGACCCTACTGTTCCCACGCTACGGATCCATGAGACCAGAGCAACTTATCCCCCGGCGAACTGAGAGCCAGGAGCACTGGATGGACGGTGTGTAACTTGCACAAGCATCGAAACGAAACCAGACACAATCTGTATCTCGCTTGAATCCAGTATCACGATCCCGACGGGACGTCGACTGAGCCTGGCCTTGTGCGGGGACTTGGGAGATGAGAGACGAGCCTCGACAGAGATGGGAAGTGGAGTGGGGTCCGATCTTGAGCCCTTGTATCTATGTGCCGTAGTCCAAAGAGTGCATATCAAATGCTCTTTCCAAGTCCAAGTGACGTCGGCCAGAGACGAATGACGATTCTCATGTCTCTGGGCCGTCGCCATTGCGCCGATACTCGAGTTTCTTCGTCTTTTCTTTCTCGTCCTCTTCTGATTTGAAGAGAGGCGTCTTGAGTTCCTCTCTCTGCACAAACGCACAGAGCATGGCAAATCAAGAAACTGTCAGCTTTTGTTTGGAAACCCAAGTCCAAGGTCTTTTCGGTTCCCTGGGGACCGATCTGAAGATCCAAAAGCACTGATCGCTTCCACCCGCTGGTCAACTTGTCTCATTGATGTGTATCCTGCACTCCGTAGTTGATTTCTCTCCGTGGCGATGCAGGCTGTTTTCGAATTGTTCTTCAACCCCGGCACAGCCCCGGGCATGTGGACGGAGGTCGTCGGTTCCAAGTCTCCAGCGACGCTGTGACCACTGTCCATTGCCAGTCACTCAGCGCGCCGCCGCTAGAGCCCCGCAACTCGTCAGTGCCTTCTTGTTAGAGACATTGAGAGTAGAGTGTGCTAGACTTCAAGTCCCAGACCTAGGCTTTGGTGTCATCCATTTCCTCAACAACGAGCAAGACCGGCTATAACTCACATCACTCGGACCAGATGGTCAAACCAAGATTCTAGAGGCTGCAGTAAAGTCCGGCAAATTAGTAAGGCGACCCGAGCGGTTCAGCAGATGGAGATGGTGACCGCAGCGGCAACAGCGGTTGACAACATTGTAACAAGGCGGGCTTAACGCTGGTTGGCACAGTGTCCCGGCCGTGCTCCTCGATCCATCCATTTTATCTGCCTACCCTTGGGCCTCGGACTTGGCGTTGCTTCTTGTGCTCTCCTTGACCCATTGGCCGTGTCATTGTTGTGACCTTTGTTGTTCGACCGAACCTCGAAGGCCGCCGGGCAGACAGTGGACTGTGCGTTTGGATGTTGGATGTTTCCGCCGCAGCTGCCAACGAAGCACGGCATCTCCAGGGCCTGTTTTGTCCCGGACTTGAGTTCCGTCGCAAGGTACTGCCGTTCCAACAAAAGTGTCATGTCATCCGGTCGGCGCATGTAGGGTTCGGGTGTCCATTGCTTCGAAAGAAAAGTTAATCGTACCCGACGCCAAGGTACGGTCCATGTGCCATTGGCGGCGGCCAAGGCCATCATCTCAGAGCGGCGCAGTTTCTCCATGGTTAGGTGAGGTAGTGTAGCAAGCGGCTATTGCTCAAAGTCCCGGTATCAAAGGTCAACAAGACAAGAGCCTCAATAGCGGATGGTTGACAACAATGGCCTCACTACCGGTAGAAGCACCGTTGCAAGTCTAGGACCCGAGGCAAGGGATAAAAAAAGACGAGAGCGAGCGGCGAAGGAAGAACAAGAAGAAGCAAGCCAATAGCGCATCGTCGTCTTCTCGACGCTTCTGATGGACTCCAAGCACAACGCCGTCAATTTAGCGCAGCGCGCAGCGAACCAGGAGACAGAGAAAGGGGGGCGTTCACTGTCGATTGCCGAGCCTACACTACTAGTACTCGTTAAGAGCAAAAACGACTCTGGGCCGGTTTGGGGGTAGGTGTCTGACCATACCGCAGTTGGTCCTCCCGCGCTCCCTCGTCTGTTGAGACCAAGGGTTAAGGGTTGGCTTGCCGCTTGATGCATCTCTGATCTTAGTGCGCTGGGCTGGCTGGGGGGGGTTCCCGACAATGGTGCTTGAAAGCACAGACGTTGCTGCACTGTGCGGCAGAGGGCCATGCGCATGTCAAAA